GCAGTCTGGGCATGCTGACCAGTCTTCCACAGCAGCAAATACACTCGTTCCTGAAGGCTCCGTTAAGTCACATTAACGTGCTTTACTCCACGTTTCAAATACTCGATCATCACAAGTCAGTAACAGCAGTTGTTAACCAGCAATAACTCCATTGTGTGTACCTGCCTGTCTGTAACGAGGCCACAGGAACAGCAGTGTCCTTAAGTGGACAGTATGCACCTACCAACCACAGAGGTTATGATTCTCTTTACAAACTCTAAGATGTAAATAAACTCTGAAGTGATTAGTTCAAGCATCTCCATGCAGCTCTGAGTCAGGATACAAACAAAACCCCAGTTTTCTTCGTAAGATAAACAGTACTACTTGTTAATTCCTATGTTCGTTTATCCACCATGAAATCTTAAGGGTATTTAATAGCGTTGCACAAATCCCAGTATTGGTGCATTTATGAAATATCAATAATTTAATCTGATTTCATTTACACAGATTCCATCTGGTTACATAAACACAGTAAGCTGCCACAGAAGCAGCAGTGGAATCACTCCTAGAAAGCCATGTCTCAAGCCCGCCTGCTGTCTTCTTCCTTGATTTCTTCTCTGCATACAAGTGTCGTTACATGGAGGTGAAGACAGAAGCAAACAGACCGAGCAGTCAAAGTGACTTTTCTCAGAAAATGTAATGCCACACCATAAGGCAAATAAAGAGTCAGTAAAAGTTCTACAAAATTTGGATGGTGTGTTGGTTAACATCAATACAACGAAAGAATGCAGACTGCTGAAATTCCAAAACATTTTAAACAGGAAGCCTGAAATAATCATCACGCCAGAACTGACTTTAGAAGTGTTACTCCCTGCCCACCTGGCACAGGCTTTGCAGAGGGATACGTTATCCCTCCCGCTATGCTATATGGCCATAAATTAAAGCCAGCAAATGTGACAGAAATAAAACAAATAAATGACTGCAATTACTATTCAAAGCTAATGTTTTGTTTTATCAGAGGTACTTCCCCAGATGCAGACTGATCTCAAAGTGCAGACACACAGAATAATTCCACAAGTACCAGCTGCAAACGTAACCAGAAAACAAGCCCGTTTTCTTCAGCTGATCCAGAGCTTGTGGTGGACTCCAACAACTGACCATCCCAGCCTCACTCAATCACAGGAATTGTTTCATCACCAGACGATATTTTACAATGATTGGACTATTTGCTAGCGACACTTCTGCAGTAGTGTCTAACCAAAAAAAAAAAAATGAGCAAGGTAAATCTTGAGATATTGAGCAAAAATCTCTTTCAGAGGCCTGAGCGTGGCATCATAACGCCTGCCTGATTCGATCCTAATACTATGGCGCTTTTTTTTTTCCAGTGGTTCTCCCAAAAGCATAGGCCAAATCTCAATTTTTTTCTTCCTTGCAGTACCTGTTTAACAGTCTCTCGGATATTTTTCAGGTGGATTCTGTTCATCAGCCGATCAGGAACAAGGCAGTCCAAATCACTAGTCTCTGGTTTCTTCGCTGGGAATCCACGCTGCAGCTTTCTGGACTTGCCACCGTTTGCCTGCTTCGAGATCAGCTGCTGACACATCTTGCTTATCTTAATGGTGCAAAAAGACTGGAAAGCATCCAGTTCTCCATCTGATAATTCAGTAATTCCTGTCAGGCATAAATCAACAAAACAAAAGTGTCCATTACTATATCAGAGAAAGAGAAGAATTACTGGTTCTATCTGTGCGACCTCATATTATCTAATAAAAACCCAAACCTCATGTCAAGCCTAGAGGCAACGACTGTAACAACAGCAGTGCAGAAGTTAAATACAAACCTGGACAATAACTGTAGGGACCGGCACAATAAATGTCCCTATGAACGGTCTCCAAAGAGGGCAGGGGATAGAACCCTAAAGAATTAAGACTATTTAATGATACGGCACAAATCCGTGAGTAAAGCAAGTACTTAAAGGCTGTGACATTAAATAAACTGAGTTCCAATGACCACCCAACACAGGTGCAGCTTCCTCCCGAAACTGCAACTGGCTAAACCAAAATGAATTAACATTTAGAGAGAGCTACTCATCTAAGGAGCAATTCACAAAACACTGAAAAATCAGAGGCAGTGTCTATTGAAGTAACTCTGGAAAAGTTATACACCTCATATACATTCCACAACCTATAGTTAGGCTGCCTTTTTTTTTTTTTTTTTTTTTTTGGGGAAATGCAGTTATATTAGAAAATACTTTCCTCTAAAGCTTCAATGACCATTCCCTAAATTGTTTATATGACCTTGGTTAAACAATCTCTTTCATCTGCTCTTATCCTTCCCAGTGGCACGTCATAATAAATAAAACCAGAGAGATTACACTTCAGATGGGCAGGCAAGGACAGGTTTACAACTTCACTGGATGCTTAGTGGGAGATTTTCCACAGGCTCAAACACAGCCCATCAATATAGTATTTCATGAGCACCAGCACACAGTGACGCTGTGCAGAGCCACACGGCCTCATGAGATACCACTGGTTTCAGCTGTTCAAACGGGGGAGAGCACCCCTCTACCTCTGCTACACAGATCTCGTTAATGCAACTACTGAAGCCCAACTGAACACCTTAATGTGTGTAATTAAAGGAGAAATGAAGACAAAACATTACAGTCAGCATTACTAGAAGCCTTGTGAACACCTCTGCACACAGCTAACGCTAACACAGCGCTTCCCTTCGCGGGGCTCCACCCTGACAGCCAAAAAAAAGTCAATGACAGTGACTACAGAGGTAAGGTATGGTCAGAGGATTCAGAAACAAATTATACTGCCCATTTAGCTGGAAAGTCGGATCACACAATTTAAACAATCCCTCCATATTGTCCATTTCATCCGCTTTCAGTGATTAAAATCACTTTTGCTTCAGCTCTAGACAGGCACTGGATATTTCAGGGTGATTGTCTGATGACTCGCACATCAGCATTCCAGTCCCGTGGGGTACCTTGGCATAACCCTAACCTAAATCCTTAAAACACCGAACGATATGAATGTACAAGTTTGCCTAAACATGCTGCGATTCATTTAGTCCCAAGTACACAAGACAGAGCTGTGGAATTTTGCAAGGAAACTGGGTATCTCTGCAGAAATGCAGTCATTCGCGCCTACAGACACTAAAAGAAACGCTAACAGAGAGAACAGCAATTTTTAAATCTGAATGCACAACCAATTTCCAAAAGTTACTTGTTTAATATCAATTCATGTTTAACAGTAAATAAGCTCAGAAAGAATAAAAATTATCACGGACCAAGGACTATAATCTTACTGAAACAAGAACAGAAAATGATGAGAGAAGTCAGCACACCGTTAAATTCTGAAGAGTTGGTCTTTTAACTGTACAATGGCTATTTACGCTTTCAGACTTTCTTCTAGGTACAGAAGGTTCACCCGCCCTTCAGCCGAAAGAAAAGAAGATCTATGCCCTTGCTTCGGTGGTTGGTTTTATTTCTTGTGTCTTTCATGTATTCCCTCCTTCCCATCTCTGAACTAGACATGCTCGAATGCTCCATCTCCATTTGCGGTGACAGACCGAAATGTCACTGCACGTCTGCCTGCAGAGGATCCCTGCCACTGCCAATTACTGTTCCAGGAGCGCATTTTGCTGCTGCTTGGCTGCCCCGCGTCCTGCGCTCCCCCAGCCTCTTCGTCGGAGGGGGATAAGGCAGGAAGAGGCGACAAGAGGAGCAAACCCAGACGCAGACGTCAAGTCAGAGCCGCGTATCACACAGCAGCGGGGTCACGAAGCGCAGAGCCTTTGGAAAGTGAAGCACCATGAACTGGATCAAGGGGCTGCTCTGGTTATAGGAGCACGCAGTGTGCACAAGAGATAAGCTCCTCTCCATGTCTACATCTGTCTGGTTTGAAAGACAGGTGTCTGCGGAGGAA